GTTTAGTCGACTAAATCGACTAAACATAGTAATTTACATATAAATTTTTTAGTCGACTAAATCGATTCCTATCCCTAGTTATAACTTTATTATTTTTTCTAAAGCCATACAAGTTCTTGTATTTTAAAATTCATCAAACAGAAAATAGAAATTAAATTTGCCATAGTAAGTTGTTTTTTAATTTGATTCTGTTTATAACCAAATGTCAACTAAATATGAATTTTATTGCTGAGTCGGTGATTACACATCAGGAAGTTAACTATTACACGAAATTAGTCGTGAATTTTTAAATTAAAAATCGTACAGAAATTTTAAATGTTATTTACTAGTTTTATAAAACCATTCTTTTGTTGAAAGTTAGTCAGTTAACATAGTTTATCAAGAGTCAGCTATTATATTTAATATTTCGGCATCCAATTGAACCTAATTTAGGTTTGGTTTTTTGGTTCCAAACCTAAATTATGATCGGTTACACCGAAAGACGGACACTCCTAAAATTCAGTGGGTTAAGCTTAAAAGATTTTCACATCGTCCCCTTAGTTCCAACCAATTAGCATTAGAAGTCAAATTTTCATAATTATCTTTTAAATGTATGGACTTGTATTCTATGAACTATGATAATCATAACCAGTCACTGGAACTCCATGTATAGGAGTTCGCGCATATATTTCGGAAGGAGGTCCAGGTGTATAAACTGTAGTCATATGTGTTTCATGTATATGATCATTCCTGAATGTACCCGGTGTCTCTATAAATTCTTCTTTATGTCGATTTTTATAAATAATCAATCCAATAATAAATAAAACCGCAGCTAAGATAACTATACCTATACCAATGCCAATTCCAATATATAAATCTGAGGATTTATGATCTGCTTGACTAGCTTGACTATCTTGATTAGTTGGGAAATTACCATTACTTTGTGTTGGTTTAGTTGAATTTGTTGTTGTAGATATATCAAATGTAGTGACCCAGGTGTAATTTTGTATGTCAAGAATATAAATATTATTTGTCTGTAAAGTTGATGCTGAAGTTGCACCTGAATATGTAAAAATTAAATAATTTTAGTAACTTTGTTTAAAATAAATAAACATACGAATTAATTACCGAATGCAAGTATCATATAATTTTTGTATAATGCGGCAGAATGCTGTGTGAGTGGTGGTGCCATTGTTCCAGAAACGCTTGGAACAGACCATTCCCAGGAATTTGTATTTAATACTGCAATATCAGAAAACACATTAGCAACATTGCCAGAAGTATCCAATGTTGAGCCTCCATATATAATAATATTTCCATCCTGGGCTAAAAACAATAATAATCAGATATAAAAATCAAAACTTACAGTAACTGTTAATACAATATTATTATGTATAGCATACGTACTTAAAACAGCAGAATGAAATGCTCGAAATGCGATAGTAGAACCACTAGCAATCTAAATAAAACATATTTATATTCGCAAAAAATTAGATATAATTATTATCAGTAATAATATTAATTGTATACATTACTTTAGTAGACCAGGTGTAGGATTTTGTGTCAAATATTTGAATCTGCATTTTAACATTAATCAAAGGAAAAACTTTAAAATAAATATTTGAAAATTATAAAATGTCTATTATTAATAATATTATTATGCTATACCTGAGCCATATTATTAAGACTTGGATTTATACTTGGACTTGAACTACTACCACTACGCCCACCAATATAAATAATGAGACCATTTGGTAATAATGTAGCAGTATAGTCGATATAAGTAAGGGCAGTCTGAGACTGAGTTTGTGTTGACCAAGACATAGTAGTGATATCAAGTATATTCATATCATTATAAAAAATAACTGTTGAACTATTATGATTTCCTCCACCAAAAATAAAAATCTTCCCATTATTGTCAATAACAGTTTGTATTTCATTACGAGTTGCAAAGCTAGAATTAAAATTATTAATAGTTGGTGTTGTCCATTGTGAAGTCTTAGAATCAAATTTATATACTGATGATGTATATGAATAAACAACTGTAGTAGCTGAAGTAATTATCCATGTTCTTCCTCCGACTAAAAAAACTGTAGAATTATCAATAGGACTAAGGCAAGA